CTAACTACCTGCATTGCAATCTGATTATTTACCATTTGGCTGTATTTTATTCTATTCTACTTCATTAAAAATTGCAGGTCTTGACCCACTAAACTGATTTCAAGACCTACTAATGCAGGTGGGGGATGCAGCTGCAGTTTGATAAATACAGGTCTATTTAATCTGTGATGTATACCTTGTGTAGTGCATAAATTTATTCTTTTAGGCACATATTTCATGTGTGGGTGGGAGAGGGGAGGCTAAGGATAATATCCTTCTAAACCAGTAATTGTCAAATATGAATGTGCATAGGAATCACCTGGGGATCTTGTCAAAAAAAAAAAAAGATTCTGATTCAGTAGATGTAGGGCAGGCCCCTGAGATTATGCATTTCTGCCAGGGCTTCCAACCGGTTCATTCCAGTTCAAACCCCTGCTGAGAATTTGCATTTCAAACAAGTTCCCAAGAAGTTATATATAAGAATCACCTGGGGATTTTGTTAAACTGTAGATTCTAGGCCTACATAAATGGAAAAACATACTATGTTCATGGATAGGAAGACTCAACACTGTGGAAATGTCAATCTTACCCAAAGCGATCTACAGATATAATGCAATCTCCATCCAAATACCAGCAGCATTTTTTTAACGAGATGGAAACACTAATCACCAAACTCTAATCAGATGGAAAGAGGCCCCAGATAAGCAAAGCATTATTGAAGAAAAAGAACAAAGTAGGTGGTCTCACACTACCTGACCTCAGAACCTACTATACAGCCATGGTAGTCAAAACAGCCTGGTACTGGTGCAACAGACACATAGACCAATGGAACAGAATTGAGAACCCAGATGTACATCCATCTACCTATGGACAGCTAATCTTTGACAAAAGACCAAAGTCCATCAAATGGTGAAAAGATAGTGTTTTTACAAAATGGTGCTGGCAAAACTGGATGTACATCTGTAAAATAATGAAACGAGACCCATACCTCAAACCATACACAAAAACTAACTCAAAATGGATCAAAGACCTAAATATAAAACATAAAATGGTAGAGATAATGGAAGAAAAAATAGGGACAATGCTAGGGGCCCTAATACATGGCATAAGTACAATGCATACCATAACTAACAATGCACAAACACCAGAAGATACACTAGATAACTGGGAGCTCCTAAAAATTAAATGCTTACACTCATCAAAAGACTTCACCAGAAGAGTAAAAAGAGAACCTACAGACTGGGGAAAAAAATTTTGGCTATGACATACTCAACAAGTCTCTAATCTCTAAAATCTGTAGAATACTTTAACGTCTCAACAACAAAAGACAACTAATCCAATTAAAAATGGGCAAAGGATATGAACAAGACACTTCACCAAAGATGACATTCAGGCAGCTAACAGACACCTGAGGAAATGCTCACGATCATTAACCATTAGAGAATTGCAAATCAAAATAATGTGATACCATCTTACCCCAGCATTATTGGTACTAATCAAAAAAAAAAGAAAATAACAAATACTGGAGAGGTTGTGGGGAGATTGGAACTCTTATACACTGCTGGTAGGAATGGAAAATGGTACAACCACTATGGAAAATGATATGTCACCTCCGTAAAAAGCTAGAAATAGAAATACCATTTGATCCAGCAATCCTACTACTAAGAATATATCCTGGAAAAATAAGAGCCGTCACACAAATAGACGTGCACACCCATGTTCACTGCATTATTATTCACAATAGCAAAAAGATGGAAACAACCTAAATGCCTGTCATGGATTGAACTGTGTCCCCCAAAAATATGTGTATCAATTTGGCTAGACCATGGTTCCCAGTGTTGTGTGATTGTCTGCCATTTTGTCATCTGATATGATTTCCTATATGTTATAAATCCTACCGCTATGATGTTAACGAGCAGGACAGGCAGCAGTTATATTAATGAGGCAGGACTCAATCTATAAGATTGGATTGTGTCTTGAGCCAATCTCTTTTGAGATATAAAAGAGAGAAGCCAGCAGAGAGATAGGGGGAACTCATACCATCAAGAAAGCAGTGCCAGGAGCAGAGCACGTCCTTTGGACCCTGGGTTCCTACACGGAGAAGCTCCTAGTCCAGGGGAAGATTGATGACAAGGACCTTCCTCCAGAGCCGACAGAGAAAGCCTTCCCCTGGAGCTGGCACCTTGAATTTGGACTTCTAGCCTACTAGACTGTGAGAAAATAAATTTCTCTTTGTTAAAGCCATCCACTTGTATTTCTGCTATAGCTGCACAAGATGACTAAGACAGTGCCCATCAGCAGATGAATGAATAAACAAATTAAGGTATATACACACAACGGAATACTACACAATGATAAAGAACAATGATGAATCCACAGAACATCTCACAACATGGATGAATCTGGAGGTCATTATGTTGAGTGAAATAAGTCAATCACAAAAGGAAAAATATTGTATGAGACCACTATTATAAAAACCCAAGAAAAGATTTACACATAGAAAAAACAATCTTTGATGGTTACAAGGGAGGGGAGGGGTGGGGAAGGGAAATCACTAAATAGTAGACAAGTTAACTTTGGTGAAGGGAAAGATAACACACAGTATAGGGGAAAGCATCACAACTTGACCAAGGCAAATCCATAGACGCTTCCTAGACACATCCAAACACCTTGAGGGACCGAGTTACTGGGGCTGAGGGCTGGGGACCATGGTTTTGTGGGACATCTAGGTCACTTGGCATAACATTGTTTATAAAGAAAATGTTCTACATCCTACTTTGGTGAGGTCTTAAAAAGCTTGCAAGCAGCCATCTAAGATACGTTTGTTGGTCCCATTAAGTCTGGAGCAAAAGAGAAAGAAGAAAACCAAAGACACAAGGAAAATATTAGTCCAAAGGACTAATGGACCACATGAACCACAGCCTTAACCAGCCTGAGCCCAGAAGAACTAGATGGTGCTTGGCTACCACCACTGACTGCTCTGACAGGGATCACAATAGAGGGTCCCGGACAGAGCGGGAGAAAAATTGTAGGACAAAATTCAAATTCACATAAAAAGACCAGGCTTTACTGGTCTGACAGAGACTGGAGGAACTCCCGAGACTATTGCCCCTGGACACCCTGCTAACTCAGAACTGAAGCCACTCCGAAAGTCTACCTTTCAGCCAAAGATTAGACAGGCCTATAAAATAAACAACACACATGAGGAACATACTTTTTACAAGTATACAAGACCAAATGGGCAACATCTGCCCAAAAGAAAACATGAGAAGGCAGGAAGGGACAGGAAAACTGGATGAATGTACACGGAGAACCCGGGGTGGAAAGGGGGAGCATGCTGACACATTACGGGGATTGCAACAAATGTTACAAAACAATTAGAGTATAAATTTTTGAATGGAAAACTAATTTGTGCTATAAACTTTCATCTAAAACACAATTTTTTTTAAATGTAGATTCTGATTCAGTATATCTGGGGTGGTAATGCAAATACTCGCCAGGGAACTTGTTAGAAATGCAAATTCTCAGCAGGGGTTCCAACCTGTTCAAATCCCTGTTTCTAACTAGCTCTCAGGTGATGCCGATGCAGCTGGAACATGGATCACTATTTGAGTAGCAACACTCTAAAAATCTAAGTGTAGGTATATGTGTTAAAATAGTAAGGCAGAGCCTGGCAGGAGTTTCCTGGGAGAGAATTTAAGGAAAAAGGAATCAAGTGAACAACACATTGACAGATGAGAACAGCACAGTGTGTGCTACTCAGATTTTACCCTTGGCCTACCCACCACCCACCACCTGAATCTGGAGGAGAGATGGCTGTATGCAAAACACACTTACAAATCAGCAATAAAACATAGAGAGGACTGTTAAAAAAAAAAGCCATCAGGGGCCCAATTATCACTCAGGTGTTACCCACTTAGGTAAGTATAACTCTAAAGTGAGGGAAAGGGCTTTATCCACACATCCAGATGTCACATGGCAGGGATGGAGTGGACTTTGGCTCACTGGGAACTCCAGGGAAATCAACAGAACTTTGTCACCCTGAGGACTCCAATTTATCATCAGCATTGGAAGCCTGAGGAGGGTGCAGCATCCACGAGAAGGTGCACAGTGCCCAGCAGACATGACAGTACGCAGAGTAGGGTGGCACCCAGCTCTCAGCTACCTGGACTTATTCCTAGACACAGGTGAGACCTCCCTCAGCTCTCCCCCAAATGTCTGATGGAGTCCTGGTTCTGCTAGTGCAAGGGAGGGGGTAGGAGCCAGCCCAGCACAGCTCACATACACAGTACCTCACGTGATCCACTTGGCAGCCCTGGGAGGCAAGTATTATCCTCATTTCGCAGATGACAAGACTGACCCTTACAGCAATTCATCTGTAATAACTTCCAGGTGGATTCCTCCCAGAAGTCCCAGAAGTAATGTGAATTTTCCCCATCGTTTTAAGTTCTGAGAAGATTTTTAAGTATCTCCACTGCTTTCATAAGTTCACCGGACAGCTGATTACTTTTTATGTATTTTTGATCTAAGTTTTTTTTATCTTTAATTATTTCTTTATGGTAAAGTTAATCTGTGTTCTTTGGAAAAAATAGATGAGAGGAAGTAAGGAAAGAAATCTCCCACAATCTTTCAATTCGGGAAGACCACTGTTAACTTTTTAGTGGACAAAATTTGTTTTCCCTGTGCAAAGATGTCTATAGAAATTTTTTTCCAAAAATGGGCCAGGTGGAAGACTAGCACATTTTAAGAAACACTAACACAATACATATGATATAAGCTGCTTTATTTTTCAAATAATCATGAACCTCTCTTCCATGTACATGGGTGAAAATCCCCTACTGAAACACAGAGCACTGCAGTTTGTCAAAAGGCTGCTGGTAACAGGAGTGACACCTAAAGCGTAGTATCAGCATAGGTAAAAGCATAGAGCCTAGCAAATGCCTGCCAGGGAAATGCAAGGAAAAAGAAAGCAGGGTTGGCAATGTTCTAATCAGTCAAACCAGACTTAAAGTCCAAAGGCACTACGGGGAAGGCTTGTCCTCAGAGTCCCTTGGTGGGACCTTAGAGGCACCTTTGATTGCCCCTGGGCACTTTGGGTAGAAGGGATTCTGAAAACATTTTTGCATCCTTATAAAGTCCCCCAATTTCTGTCTGTTTTTTTTCACCTCATCCTCCACCCTAGCCATCTCATCAAATTCTCTTATCATCTCCTCATTGCTCAAATGCATATCATGTATGGCCTCCTTATACTCCTTGAGGTACTCAGCCAGCCCTTTGTTGGTTTTTCTTTTTGCTTTTCTGGGTACATCATCCTGAGCTGGGCGCTTTCCTGCAGCCCTTGTTTCGCTCTCTGACTTTCCTTCACCCTCCGGCTTTCCCTTTGCCTCACCTTCTGGCTTTCCCTTATCTTTTAGCATTTCCTCATCTTCTGTCTTTGCCTTCTTTCCTGTCTTTCCCTCATTTCCTAACTTTTCCTTGTCTTCCAGAGTACCAGCTACTTCTGGCTTTCCCTTAACCTGCGGCTGTTCTTCGTTTTCCATCTTTCCTTGGTTTTCAGGCTTTCCTTCATTTTCACTGTAGAGTTTTTCCATGTTGAGATTCTTCTCCTTTTCCTGCCCTGAGGTTGGGGGGAGACAGGGGAGATGGGAGGAGACAGGAGGAGACAAGGGAGACTGAGGACTTCGGAGTCAAGCACAGGTCTAGATAGTTCTTGCATCTCGGCCCGCCCTCGAGAGGGTTCTTCTAATCTGGCCGGGCCTCCAAGTGTGCCTTCTGCCCACCCTTTACCCCCACCCCACTCAAGCCAATGTTTCCCAGGCAGGCACTGTCACCATCTCTACTCCCAGTGTGGAAGGGTGTGTGTGTGTATGCGCTGGAGGGTGGGGTCCCCAAATTCTACCCAGCCCTTGCCCTCCACACTCCCCCAGCCCCAGGTCCACGGCCAGTGCACCCCTCTCAAAGACCTGCAGAGCTTCTGGACAGGCTTCTCCTTTTCTAGCCTTGCAGAGTGCTGGGAACAACAGACGCCCAGACCTGCAGACAGACAGGAGACAGGGGCAGGGCGCTCGGTGGACGCACAGTGACAAGGGTCCTTTCCTGAATCCGGGTCTCCTCATCAAGGATTCACTCCCCAACATCCCCGCCCCCCAGCCACCATATCTTTTCAGGCCTCAGACCCCAGACCAGGATGTTTTCCAATTTTTGGGTTTCAGTGTCCCCCCTCCCCCGAAGGCAACTTCCTCCACCCCCACCCTCTTTTGCTGGAGGTCAATCTTTCTTCTTAGGCGTAGAAAGCGGGTGGGAGGTATTTATAGAATCTGTCTATGTCTCACTGTCGCACTGCAGGGAAGCGCCCCCCCCCCCATTCCAGGCTCTAAAATGGATGGAGGGTGCAGAGGAGGGGCTGCAGGGTCCTTCCTCACACCTGTCCATGCCCGCTCCTGATCCCTTCCCCTCCTGCCCCCTCAGGTGGTCCCCATCCCTTCCCCTCCCCACCAGGTGGTCCCCATTCTTTCCCCTCCCCCCACAGGTGCACCCCATCCTTTCCCCTCCCTT